TTATTTAAAATAAAAATATACGTACTTAAAGGTCCATTTATTGAAGAAATTTTAATTCTGTGTATGCGATATTTCCAACTGGATTGTGATATATTTAAAATGTCTACGTATGCTACTATAAAAATGTATATAGACACACAATAAGAATATTTACACTTTTATTTTATATTAAACACCTTCTGCTTCATACAATAACTAAAGTGTATCCAAGAAATAATCAAAACGATTGGCTAGATTTTAACAATAAAATATTTTTTCAAAAAAAGTTTTCTTTTAAAAAAGCTTATTATACTGTGGTTATTATTTAGTAAAAACTATAGCTATACACGCAACAGTTATATTTTTACACCATCCTTAGCTAAATTAGATTGCTTTTGAATAATTATACAATGAAAAAATGACTAATTAAAAAAAGTTTAATTAATTGAAGAAATTATTATTGAAATGTTTTTACAAATGAATAGAGAAAAAAGAACTACCCCACTGAAATTGGAATTTGTTTTTGTCTTTTATGGATTAATTAAATTTCTTATGTCAATGTTCGGGTCTATTATATTGATATATTTTCCATGGTTTTAAAAGCTGACCTCTGTAATTCCATTGCACGCGCTGAATTTAAAGGTCTTAACAAGGCCTGTGTGAAGTGATAAATTTCACGGCCTAGCCTGACAAGAACCATCGACATTTACTGGAAAGTGTTTATCATATATAAACAATTGCATAGATGGTAATGTTTGCATGTAGAGGTACACAATGATCTTGTGCAATTCTCGTCCCCCTCAACAAAATGTGTATGCACACTTATATGGTTATGCCAGTATGACGGTGCCTTAATCGTATTTAAAAAAATCGTTTGCATGTATCGTATATTTATTTGGCTACAGGACATTACCATCCCCCCGGAAATTACCCCCGGACATTTCTCCCCCCCCCCCAGTTTTTACCCCCCCCCCCCCGGAGCAATTACCCCCTGTCAATTACACCCCTGGCAATTACCCCCCCCCCTCTCAAGTTAGAATCCTAACTCTAACTAGAATTCTATACATATATACTATACTATATACTACTTTAATCCAAACCTTAAGAAAAAAGACCAAAACCTAAGCATCCACCTTAGCCTAAACTTCAAACAAAACCAAAAACAACGCTAGACATTGGTTTACGCCTAACCCTAACCCTAGCCCTAACCCTAACCCTAACCCTAACGCAAACCCTAACCCTAACCCTAACCCTAACCCTAACCCTAACCCTAACCCTAGCCCTAACCCTAACCCTAACCCTAACCCTAACCCTAACCCTAACCCTAACCCTAACACTAACCCTAACCCTAACCCTAACCCTAACCCTAACCCTAACCCTAACCCTAACCCTAACCCTAACCCTAACCCTAACCCTAACCCTAACCCTAACCCTAACCCTTGCCCTAGCCCTAGCCCTAACCCTAACCCTAACCCTGTCGGGGGGGATGTCCTACTGGACGGGGGGTAATTGACAGAGGGTAATTACTCCGGGGGGTAATGTCGGGGGGGGGGTATCCGGGGGGCAATTGACAGGGGGGAAATGCCCTGTTCCCATTTATTTATGTATATATGTGTGCTCCTTTTGTGTACGTTATATCTTCAGGCAAAATCCAACTTTTCAAGTTTTAACTGTAGATGAAAATGAAATTACAATCACCCTAAAAATGTCGCCTGGAACTACTTTTAGCTACTTGAACAAAACATTTTCCAATGCTGACACATTAAGAGTTACTTTAAAAAAGTAAGTATATTTCTGCGTGGGTAAAAAATAATAATAATTGAATAATGTGAAATACTTTTTAAAAATACGTTTACTTTGGCATGGATTCCAAATATAATAATTCTAGCAGAAACAGTTTTTTAAATAATTATCATTAAAATAAAAAAAAAACCCCACGTTTTCTGATTGAACTAAAAAGTAGATTTCAGAAGAGGGAAAGTACCGAACTTTGTTTTTATCAAATTACAATTACTAGGTTATGTCCCTTTTTGTACAAATCAATAGGAGTCTAATATGATCAATAAAAATTTCCCATGGATCAATTTAGTAATAATAATATATGAATATTGTATTGTCATCGGAAACAAAGCTTCCCTGAAAATTTCAGCGCGCTAGCTAACTGGGAAGTGCCCGAAATTTCGATCGCAAAATTTGATGGAAAGATAAACAAACAGACGCGAAAGCAAGTTAAAGAAAACGTAGGAAAAACCAGACGCATATTATTTTACGCCAGTTTTACAAGCTTTTATTCATCTTGTTTACTTTGTCTGTCCGTCGTTTTGTCTGTCGTCCGTCATGTGTGGGTCGCTTTTTAAATTCTAGTAAAGGTATTCAATACATAAAATAGCGACCCACGCTTTATTTTTAATTATTCAAATAGTAGTTTTCAAATATATATCTCAGAAAAATAATTTATTTTTCATTTTTAGCGCATTATCACATAAAAGCTTGTTATTAAATTGTTTTTTATGCATTTCTTTTTTCTTACAACTCAACAAGTGTGATAGTCAATGGTCACTACTAAATCCATCCAAAATAAATCAGTGTACTTGGGAGTTAGCCTACCCACTACAAATTGCCATTATAAAAATGTTGAGTTTTGAAATTATTTAATTAAGGGAAATTTCTTTTTTAAAAATATGTTTATAGTATTTAAGTATTGTTTTGTTTCATACATGTTTATAATATTTTTTTTTCTATAAAGATTTGAAGCATTTGGTTTATCAAAATGCGACCCTAGTCTGGTTGTGCAGAGTACCCTAACTGGTAAGTAATTATTTTGTAAACATTAGTGCTTGCTCCATATACTAATGGATATTAAGTTACACATGGTAAACTAAACTATTTGCGTTCATAAAGACGGTTCACTTAAAATAATATACCGGGAGTGATCTCCCCTAAACTTTCTGGAATATTGTTATATAACTCTACGATGGATGGCAACGCGGGATATAGGCATGATTCTTATTCAATTTTTAATTACTTAAACTTTTAAAAATAAAATAGAATATCTTAGAAATAAAGAATTGCGCATGAAATGAATGGCAAACAATATGTGTATAATTGTGCGGAATATTATTAGTACTTTATTTTTTAAAATAAATTTTTAATCACTTTATTTTTGTTTTTTGAGAAAATGCAAATAGCGTAAATTCACACACACACACACACACACACACACACACACACACACACACACACACACACACACACACACACACACACACACACACACACACACACACACACACACACACACACACACACACACACACACACACACACACACACACACACACACACACACACACACACACACACACACACACACACACACACACACACACACACACACACACACACACACACACACACACACACACACACACACACACACACACACACACACACACACACACACAGACATGCGGACAGAATTGCAAAACCAAGTTTTTCCGACTCGAATACGCATAAAACGCCGAAATTTTGATGAATCTGGATTTTAAATTTTTGCCCGATTAAAGTAAGCCCCCTATACCCCGTATGTAATAAACTTCCCAACATAATCTTAAACAAACTGTTTTCATAAATAAACCGGGAGTGCTCTCCCTTAAACTTTCTCGAATATTCTTATATAACACATAGACATGATTTTTAATTACTTAAACTTTTAAAAATAGAATAGAATCTCGTAGAAAAAAGAATTGCGCACCAAGCGAACGCCAACACAAAATGTGCATAATAGTGCGGAAGTAATATTATTAGTACTTTATAAATTTACATGCGTTTTTTGAGAAACCGGAAATAGCGTAAATTACTACTTCCGGTCAACGAAATAATTCAAAATTTGACAGAAGGTAGAGGATTAGATCTTTTACTTACATGTGAAATTTCATTTATCTATCTGAAATAGTACACAAGTTATAGGCTTTTGAAAAATTCAAAATAGAAAAAGTACCACTTCCGTTTATCAGAAATCGCTCAAAAGCTTATACGGATCTACGATTTTGATAAAATACTTATATATGAAATTTCATCAACCTAGCTATAACGGTACTCAAGTTATCGTGTTTACAAACACACAGACACACACACAAACAGACACACAGACATACGGACAAGATTGCAAAATTATGTTTTTCCGTATCAGTGAGGTGTAAACCATCGAGATTAGTAAAAATCTCGATTTTATTTGCGCGAATACAAGACTTTCTCTATACTTCGTAAATACGAGAGAGTAAAAAGTTTATCTTCATTAAATAATGCATGTAAATAACGAATATTAAACTAAATATCCGTGTTCGTAAAAAGTTTTTACGTGATAAAATAATAGAAATATACTAAACATTATTAACTAAAATGTGTGTTCATTAATCATTTTGCTTGATAAAGTATAAGAAATAACCTACAGATGCTGTTGAACTAATTTGAACATTTTTTAATGGACTAATACAGGGACCACAGTTGAAGGGAAAAATCCGATTGGTTTGATCAGTGGCGACTGCCTGTCCAACACTACAGTCGTTAGATGTGAAACGATGCAATTTGTTCCGGACGAATTCGGTTCCAGGGATTTGTTTCTAGGTACTGTCCCCTTTTCCCGTGCCCAAGACACACGATGCAGATACAGTAGAGTCCATCTGTTTCAGAGACCTCGGCATACGAAGGGATAGTGTGGTCAGCACTTTGCCCAGCCGCCTGTGCTTTCCCTAACGTGAGTCAGGTACCCATCAGAAGTAAATAGAGATAGGGGCGTTCTACTGACCTGAACTCGGACACGAACTCGACTTTCGGGTTAGCAGTCTAGCGTTTTAGAGCTAGGCCACGCGTCCTCGTTTCTAGGTATAGTAAAAATAAAAGATATAAAAATGTGTGCATGACCAATACATTCATTCGGAAATGTAGTTGGGTTTTATGCCAAAGAAAAAAAAATAGAAACTACGCACATTCGTACTGAACTAACGAAAATTGCGTGTTTTGGAAATTAAAAAAGTCCAATGTGATTTTTAAAGATTAATGGGACTTCTTCTAGATATTCTCCTCTTGGTTAAGGGGGGGGGGTGCTTTAAACTTTGGGCTAAGGAGAGGAAGGGACATGATGAACACTTGATGTTTTTAAATGTGTAAATTATATATTCTTTTTTATATCTCGTCCTTCGCGAGGCAGTACTTCCCCCGAGAAATGCCTGAAAGAAACATTGAATGCCTTTATCTATAAATATCATACACGTTTCCGTGTCTGTATCTGTATCTGTATCTGTATCTGTATCTGCATGTGTATTGGTAGTTGTAAACACTCTCTCTCATTCTCTCTCTCTCTCTCGCAATATCTTACTCTCTCGTATACGTTAATTCATAGCCCAAGCAAGGCCCATAAGACACAACGAAAGATCAAGCATTTACTTTATTGCACTCTTTGGAGTTGTGATGTATAGTAACAGCTGGGCTATGAACTTCGTTTTTTTTTGGGGACACATGCAAATATGAATTCCAAAAACTTGGGCTTCCATATAAAGAAACACACGCGTTTTAAGATATATCTGTAAAATCGAAAAGTTATATACAAGATTTAATTAAATTAATATTTTCTATTTTAACTAAATGCAGAGATGTTGACCCCGGTGGTATCTTTTGGCAAGGAGTTTATTACTGTGGTGATTACCCGGATTACGCCGGTATTTAACATGGTCATCTCATCAGAGGATTCCACAACTATCACAATCTCTGAGGGTGGTGGCTCCAATTATCCCCCGGTATTCCTCGCCAAAGCTGGGGATTCTGCTATTGTGAGTACATCCAAATAGGCATTAGGTTTATCCTTTTTTAATCTACATTCTTACACGTTTCTTACCATTTTAATCTCTTATTTACTTACTCTATTTCTCTTTAACGCTTTCTGCTTTCTTGCTCTATTCGCATTCTCTCAATGCTCTTGTCTCCCAGTTTCTTCCTGTATGAATCTATTCGAGCCGGACGTTTTCCCGAAAGACACTTGCCCGAATGCTGTTTGCCCGAAGGCAAGTGGCATTCGGGCATTTGTATCATTCGGGCAAGTGTTCATTCTGGCATTTGTCGCATTCGGGCAAGTGTTCATTCTGGCATTTGTCGCATTCGGGCAAGTGTTCATTCTGGCATTTGTCGCATTCGGGCAAGTGTTCTTTCGGGAAATCGGCCTTCGGGCAAATAACTATCAGGAATTTGTCGTACATACTCAGGGTATTTTACGCTCACTTTTTAACGCGTTGCCTACTACTTGACGTTCAGATACGGAATATACACTAACACCTAGAATTTCAACCTGTGTGTATGAGTCTAGCTATTGTATATTTATTGTATAGCTATATATTTAGATGTATTTCTTTATATATATATATATATATATATATATATATATATATATATATATATATATATATATATATATATATAAATATACATATATTTGTAACTTTATTTATATATATTTACTATATATGTACACAAATATATACATACGAGAAAAATGGCCCGTTGAGGAAGGATACAAAGGGCGCTAGGTTGATAGTGTTGTCTCTTTTCTTTAAACAAAAAAAAAAAACGCAACCACCTTTACCTCAAATTGAACTGGAAACGAAAAATGACACTAAAAACGGATTTTTATCAAGAATCGAGATTTTAATTTGATCTACACGTAGTTATCGCGCATTTATACAAAATATAGTCATAGGCATATCCATAAACCATGCACCTAATATCATTCATGACAAAAGTGGCATTTAGTGTTTCTTTCAGGCAACTCTACCCCCCCCCCCTCCCCACACACCCCAAAACATGTCTAACGTCCCATTCAACGAAATATAAGTACATACTTTTTCACTTTCCGCCCCCTCCCAGAAAATTCCACCCCCACCCCCGAAAATTTCAAGTACTCCCACCACTCTCCGGGGAGGAAATGTCTGAAAGAAACACTGGTGTCGCGCTTAGCCACTACCCGAAGAATTGCACGAAAGAAACTCTACACGCAAAACGCTTATAAGATTAGTTCTTACGCGGAGGTGGGGCTTCGCCCCTACCCGAAAAGTTGCATGAAAGCAACTCTGCACGCAAGCCACTTTTAAGATTAAACAAAATTGGCTTTTTAATTCAATGTTTACTCGAGAATGAATGACGTCATACTATTCTACGCACTTTCCCGGCTGAGACATTTTTCTACTATATGCGTTTATGTCACGTCATGTTTTGTTTTCTTTTTACTACGCATGTTTTTAATTTGCTTGTGTTTTCTCTATAGCGTTCTTGTCCGATACATACATACACAGATAGACAGACAGCGAAACTATTAGTTTAGACGAGATAAATGGCCCGTTGAGGGAGAGATACAACCGGCGCTAGGTTGGTAGTGGTGTCTTTTTTCTTTAACTTTAAATCAAAAAGAAAATCACCACCTAAACTTCAAATTTAACGGAAACGAAAAATGTCATTGAAAACGGATTTTTATCCAGAATCTGCATTTTAACCGGATTTAAGCTTGATTTACATGTAGTTACTGCACATTGATACTAAACACAGTCGAAGTCAAATCCCTAAACCTTGCACCTAATCTCAATCACGAATTAAGTCGCATTTAGGTGGGGGGGGGCTCTGCCCTGAGCATCCCCCTTACCCAGACACACACTATAAAGTGCGTCTACCGTCTCATTTAACGAAATATACTTTTTATAGAAAACATATTTTTACCTGTGCCCGCCCCCTTCCAAAAAATTTAGTCCACCCTCATCCCCGAAAATTTCAAGAACCCCTCCCCCTTCTGGTGAGGAATAACTCGGAAAGAAACACTGGTCGCATTTATAACTCATACAAACTAAAGGTAGAGCCCACTTCTATAATATAGACCTGTTTCCTACTTTCGAACGATATAAATTTTACTCAAGCAGACAGTGTTCGTTTCAAGCTTTTTCACGGGGGGTGGGGCACTTAAATTTCGACGGGTCGGGGAAGGACGACACTGGTAAAAGTATATATTTTCTCTATAAATTATATTATCCCTTTTTTTGGGAGGGGGGGGGGGGGGAATTAGACGTTCTAGCGTGGGGGGGGGGGGGGGGGGGGGAGGTAAAGGGGCTTTGCCCCTACCAGAAAAGAAACTCTTCTTGCAAAACACTTATAACATTAGACACATAATTTAGGTCGTAATGTCAGTGTTTTTTTATGGAGTCTCGATGACGTCATTTATTTGAGGGGGTTGGGGCGGGTAGACGATCTACCGGGAGTGGGGCTCCACCCCTACCCGATGAGATGCATGAAAGAAACTCTTCACGCAATACACTTTAAAGATTAGACACACTAATTAGGCCGTAATGTCTGTGTTTTATTATAGAGTATCGATGACGTCATTTCTTTGGGGGGGGGGGGCTTAAACGTTCTTTAGGGGGGGGGGGTGGGGGTGAGGTGGGGCTTCGCCCCTAACCAAATAATTGCATGAAAGAAACTCTGCAAGCAAACCACTTTTAAGATTAGACAAAATTGGCTTTTTAAAAATTCAAATGTTTACTCGAGAATCAATGACGTCATATTACTGTGTGCACTCTCCGGCTTAATACTATTTTCTACTACATGCTCAATGTGACGTCATGTTTCGTTTTCGTTTAACTATGCATGTTTTTATTTTGCTTGTGTTTTCTCTATAGCGTTCTTGTCAGATAGATAGACAGATAGACAGAGAGATTGATAGATAGATAGACAGACAAACAGCTAAACTATTATTATAGACGAGAAAAATGGCCTGTTGAGGAAGGATACAACGGGCGGCTAGGTTGATAGTGCTATTTTCTCGGTACTTTAATTTATACAAAATATAGTCATAGGCATATCCCTAACCATGCACCTAATCTTATTTTATTAATTTTATTATAGAGTATCGATGAAGAGATTTCTTTTGAGTTGGGGAGGGGGGGGGGGGGGGCTCATACGTTCTTACGCGGGGGTGGTGCTTCGCCCTTACCCGAAGAATTGTATGAAAGAAACTCTTCACGCAAACCACTCCTAAGATTAGACAAAATTGCCTTTTTATTCAATGTTTACTCAAGAATCAATGACGTCATATTACTGTGTGCACTCTCCGGCTTGATATTATTTTTACTCTATGCTAAATGTGACGTCATATTTCGTTTTCGTTTCACTGTGAAAGTTTTAAAATTTCTTGTGTTTTCTCTAGAGCGTTCTTGTCAGATAGATACACGGTTTATTTTTGCACGATTACAAGACTTTCTCTATACCAGTGGTTCCCAACCTTTTTCGAGTGGCGACCCCCTTTTATAAAAATTAAGTAACCCGCGACCCCCATAGAATTAAAACGCCGAAATTAGTATGGAAGCACTAAATAACATTTTCTAGTAGACTTTCAATATGAACTACTCTTGATAACTGTTTTAATACCATGAGTAAAATTGCATACTATTCACTAAACATTCGCGGTTATAATTTTTTTTAAGTATTTTTTTTTTTTGTTAACGCCAACCTATGTCATTATCATTATCTTATTTTGTTTTTAATCGAAAAATAGTGTTGAAAATCTATTCTCGAAAAGTCAATCAATTTTACGTTTGGGTATGAATGGTGAATACTACACCAAAATTGAGTGTGCAGTTTTTTATCTTACGCGGAATCATTCTACAGATCAAAGAATTCATCTTGTAATTCATCGTGAATGCTGGCAACATCGAGGGAAGAAGAGAATGGATAATGCGTCAATACAGATTCTTTTTTTTTTCAGCTCAGAGAAATAGCGCTGCAGTTCGTTTTCACTTGATTCAAGATGCCTAGAAATTTCTTCTTTCAAAATTTTAATTATCTCGCAACTAAACTCATCTACCACACTGCAGAGTTTCTCAAATTTACAATATTTCCAAGATTTATTTTCTTTGCCGATTTTGCAGCTTTGATAAAATGCCCCGAGATAATCATGGAAAGTGAAAATATTCGTTCATTTTCCCTGAAGCTT